ATGAATCCTGCCGGGAACGTGCACACTCATGTCCAGCTCCACCCCCGCACAGAAAGCACGCCGCACTGAAGGCGTCAACCATCGCAAAGATTCCGGACTAGCATTCGAAGCACGAGCCCACTCCAAGGCGATCCAATCCGGATGACTCGCTGTTCCACGTCTAAGATCGGCACCATGACGCAGCCAATAATTCAAGCATTTCTGACATTTTTGCAGAGGCAGCCTGAAGAAATAGGTAATGATCCCGCTCAAGTTCATCCATACAAACAATAAGACACCGAAGCACCTCGTCGACGACATGTGCGTAGGAATCAAGAGAACTGCGGCATCGCAAAGACGAGGCATGAAGAAACTACAACACACTAGCCTGCCAACATTCACAAGGCATGTTGGTTTCAATCTGCCCGACACCATACTGACATTCCTCCTCCCTGATAGCCAGGTTCACACCACACCGGTTGCGTTTAAGTCAAACACATATGCTCAGCACGCATGACAGTGCCATGTAACTTGTATCAGCTGCTGAAGCTCAAGATCAAAACTTACTGACGAACGCAGGCTCATTAAACTCGCTTAGCTCAGACACCCACAGAAACAGAGAGAATAACACAAAACGCCCCTTTGTTTTGCTTGGGCAAAATAGTTGAACAATGTTCTTTCCTTCTCCAGTTCAGATTGATGAGTTGCTGCTGCATTGTCGCAGGCTTTAGAATTTGTGTTCGGCTAAGGCTCACCACTTCTCTGTTCATCCCACTTTCCGGCCCCGATGAGGTTCTTTGCCAATAGAATGGCAAAGTGGAAAGCAGGAATCCACACAGAGAAGGCCCAGGGAACACGTTTAAACTAAGCAAGACACTTTAAGCCCCAAATCTTAATCACCTCAAAAACCATTGATCTCAAGTTGCAAGCGTGAAGCCAATCATCCATAATTGCAATCATCCATAACCTGGGCTGAACGAGGGGCCAAAACTTAAGGGACTCAGGTTGACCAAGGGTCTGTAAGCATGAGAAACGACATGCTGGGACAGAAGCTTGGGGATTGAGACCTTACAGTTGAAAGATTGTACTCTAAGGGGTTGGGCTACCAGGCACAGCTCAAACAATCCAAGGGTTAGCTCGAGCCAACCCTCAACCCCAAACCCTGTACCCTTCAATGGTGAAATCCGAGAAGCAACAGTCCGTCAATTCGGACTCGCACCACCCAGCCAAGGTCACCTGAAATCTAGGGGCGGCTAAACTAGGGTTGAGAGCTTGGGGGTGAAGAAAAAAGGTTGGGAACACATTCTGCAGGCGAATGATATCATCCAAGGAGCTGAGCACTGAAATTGCATCGTCACTGGATCCACATCCTTACTAGAATCCTTACAATACGTTTCGATTATACGATTGGTAGTTAAAGTTGGTAGGTCGAACTGAGGTTTAGTTTTGGGGTTCAAGAGACAGGGTTCCCGATGCCACCCAAAAATCCTCGACAACCAAGTTGGATCGCCCAAGCAGCCGTTCACTGAGCATTGCATAGATTGATGAAGACGAACATTTCTGCGGATACCTAAGGTTAAGGGTGAGGTCTAGGGCGTATCTACTGGGTTAAGGCGGGGGATGAGGACTGGAAACGACGATACAGGTTTCGGATTTGCAGGGTCTAGGGTTATAGGATGTTGGTCGGATTTTCCTGGGCTTAGGATTCAGCGTCTAGGATTTAGGGATTTTGGGATTTTGGACATGGAGTTACAGGGTTAGGATTTAGAGCTGGGCTACCTAGAGCAATTAATCTACCCTAAACTCTAAACCCTGAACCCTAAACCCTAAACCCTGATGATATTAAACTACAGGGTACAGATTTTCAAGCCTGGCATCTCCTCAGCATGCCTTTTAGGGATCCAAAAGAGTCTGAAGTAGCTCCCACTTCTGGGATGGGTTGGCGCATGGTTGGAATTCAGGAAAAATGTCCCACAGGAAACATTTCAAAATGCATTCGCAAGGCTCTCCCATTCCTGGCCCAAGAACCTGGAGCTTTGCATTTTGCGTCAGCCAGAATACCCACGCATCCCATCGCATCGTAACAACACCTCAGCTAGAGGGGCGCCCTTTGAGGCTAAGGTCGAGGACTGCGCAACATGTATTTCAAGCTAATGTGTGAGGTTGAAGAGGCTTCATGTTCATCAAACATGTTTGCAAAGTTGCTCCACATCTTGATCCCACCCACGCCGAATGGAAACCCATTCGATATGAGTCCATCATCAGACCCCACACCTCAGCTTGAAGGCTCAAGAGCGAGGCTTGGAGTTGATGCAAGTTTAGGAGCTCAGGGAAGTAGCAGGGCCACAGGCCGCAGGGGTTTGCAAAGTTTGGGAAAGACCCAAGATGTGAAAACCAAATTTAATGTCCGAGGAACATAGTATTGAGCACCCATGCATTCGGCGGATCACGAGGCACAACCTGTAAGGTTCGAAGTTAAGCTTGATGGGTTCAAGTTGCAGGTGTAGGAGTCTAGGGTTGGTTTGAAGTGTGAGAGGTTAGGTTACGTTGGAGCGCACAGCAGCACATGAGCAAATCATAATTCAGCGCAAGAAGCCAACCGCTGAGCAGCATCATGACCATCCAAATAGATCGATGCGGAAAACCTGAGCATAGACCCTAATTGACCCTCACCCAGACTCACCGACTCACCCCTGTAGCAGTCAACCCTCAGCCCCGAGCTTTACCCATCCTGAACCAGTCAAGAGATCACCAAGCAAGACAAAATCTAATATCCAAAACACTGAGGCTCAGTCTCTCGAATGTTAGAGCATGGAGTTCGATCACTCGGCCATCAGAGAAGGCTGGACTGCCTGGATATCTGGTAAGTGCATTGAAGCGACATGGATGTGAGCTCATGTTGAAAGCTGCCCAAATCACCAGCTCCAACTTTCCCACATTCCTACACTGCCCTAAACTGCAACAAGAACCCTGCCTGCCTCTCCCGTGGCCTGCTTATCCCAAATGGATTTCATATTTTGCAAAGTCTGGCATGTCCTAGCAAATGTCTCGGATGATGCCCACCCTTGCATCTGCAGCAAGGTTCGAACACCATCCAAGAACTTTGAATGCGGATCTGGTAGCCGCTTGCTTGAAAATAATGAAAGCACATGGCTTCTCCCGGGCGCGCTCCCACACAACTCTCAGCGGCGGGATATACACGATCCTCAAATCCTCCATCTGCACCTTGTAGGCCAACCCTGATTTCTCCAAGAGCTCAACAAACTTGTCGTCCGCATGGTGGAGTACCTTTCTCGCCACTGCACCGATATCCTTGCGCACCTTCATAGCCTTGGGAGCCAAAACACGCAATAACAAGCCAAGCACCACCATTGAAGTAAGACACTTGCATGAGACTCATGAGACTGGCACTGGCAACCCCCACACACACACACAGACATTCAGGTGACCTGGCACACTTCAAGCTCAAGCAAAGCTGAGAAAGGCATGACGACCACATCCATCTCGCCAAGGAAGCAATGCCGGAAAGAACATGTTTCCACCACAGCAAAAGACGTCTGATCCTTCTTGACGCCCACAAACCCCGGCACAAAGATCTTAGCTTAGCGTTCTCCGAGTCTCCCGCAATGGCCACAGGCTTGGTGTTTTTTGCACATGTCTCGTACTTCTTCAAGAGTTTCTCTGCACCACCTCCCAGCTTCATGAAAACTCGACCATTGCTGGCACAAGCTTGGCTGCTCTGAAACTGACCTGCAAACATCGCCTTCCTGCTTGCGAAACTGTCATCATCTGCATATTTCTCAGGGTTCATGACAGCCATGATGCGGCGGGGCGGAGCATCCACACAGTCATCTTTCAAGAAGTCATCCACTCTCAAGGGTCTCAGTTCCGGACATACCTTGAGGGTTGACTCAAAGAGCGCAGCCGTCATCGCCCCACGCGACCCACGACCATGCTTCCCTTCAGCGGCCTCAGCTGCTTCCGCTTGATCCTGCTCACGCTTTGCTTTGGCCTCCTCCCGTTTCCGCGTTGCTTGCTCCTCCTTCTCCTTCTTCTTCTCACGCTTGATGCACTCTTTGATCGATTTGGTTGCCTCCGTCAAGGCATTTCTCAGGCCCTGCGCAATCAAAGACCAGGCCTTAATGCTACCCTTCACAGTCTCCACATCCCTGGGAAGGCTGTCTGCTGAGCTGCACTTCTTCAACGCTGAAAGCTGAAGAAGGCTGGCATGGCAAACCGGCAAACAAGAAGGGAGTTGTTGGGGAGCAGCGAAATAAGAACGGACTGCAACATCGTCTGAAGCTGTGCATCTGCCCCTGCTCCCTCCCCTTCAATATCGGTTTGCATCTTCAACGCAAGCTCCAGGCATTGCACCACGACTCCCTTGTACTCCGGGATGAGGCCACGAGTGTCCGTGATCTTGTTCGCCCTCTGCAATGCAAAGGTCAACTAACTTCCAAACTACAGAGTAAACAGGGACATCACGAAAACACGTATGGGAACTGGGAACATGGGTTGATCCTGTGACCTTCTTGGATACATTACGGGCATTAGGCTTGGGATGGTCTGACGAGTTTAGGGGCGTTTTGGCCTACATGTTTCCTAGTGAGATGCACTAAGCTGGATTGCACAGCCAGCCTCCAATTCAACACGATTGTACGCGGCATTACACTCCTCCAATTCAACACGATTGTACGCGGCATTAAACTCCTTAAAAACTTTGTCGAGGGCTTGGGAGGTCTCCTCGTAGGCGCGGAGTGTGCTGTGAGTGGAACTTGCTGGGCGCAACGGTAGATAAGAAGTGTGGCTCCAATGCACTAAGTCCATTTGACAGCTGCAGCTACAAATGTATAAACATCTATTGCATGAATGTTACGCAACATCCAGAACAATTGCAAGAACAGAACAGCTTGCGTCAAAAAGTGCTGCTGCTAAAGCTTATGACAGCACAACAAGCGCCACACTGCATGCTTCAACAATGTATACTGACATGTCGGAACTGCTCCTGTCAGACATGGCAACTGAATGCAACATGGACAACCGACATGCGAGTCAAGGCCGGTAGTCAATGCCAGAGAAATCAGCTCAAGAGAAGGTAGTGCGCCCATACTGCCGACTCTTCCACCTCTATGTCTTTCCACTCTGCGCCGACGACTTTTTGGGGGAATCATCTTTGCATTTTCTGCTCCACCATCTTTAGCACGCCATCCACGCCAATCTTGATCATACCTTCGATGCACCGTGGTCACCCTCAATGTCTTCTAGGCATGCTCGTTCTACTCTCAGCAACCAAGCCAGCGGAGATTCCCGAAATAGCCTCCAAATTCGCTTGGAACTTTTCCATCACAGTAAGAAAGCCTTCTTCGCCATTTCTAATCTTCGAACGGTCGAAATACAGAGCATAGGGCAAGAAGCGATGTCTGCGTTCTTCAAGCTTTAGAGTCATCCGCAATGTGGCAGACGCTTCACCTGCCCAGCAGAACAAATCACTGAAAGTGCTGGAACTCCGACGCTCGCACGTTGCTTCTTTGCCTAGTTCTGTAATTGGAGTGATGACTGAAAGGCATTTGACTCCCTGCATGCTCCTCTAGCCTGCCGGCCATCGGTTTCGATGCATCAGCGAGACTTTTCGTGCAAAAAGCACGGGGCTTCTTCGTCCACTCTTGCTGCGCAGGTTTCCGTGATGCCAAGAAGCTTTGCATCACTCAGGCTCTATCAGACTCTGTGAAATGTCTCAAGTGGAATTTTGCAAGTACTGCGCATGACTGGTCTCTCTAGCATGACGTCTGCAAGGTAGCTAAGAAACTTACAAACAATGAACTCTAGTTGGCCAAGTCCAATCTGTTGGCTCCGAATCAACGCTAATGCTACCAAAGATCAAAGCCCACAAAACTGGTCTAGCTACCGGCGGCGCCTACATTCTCATCTTGTAGAAGAACTGCTGGGCCGGGCGCGCCTTGTAAAACGGGAATAGAAAATTAAACAAAAAGAAAAACTGCGCGCGCGCTGCGCCTTTCTACGAAAAAGCTATCTCTGTAGAAAGCGATTACTAAGGGCTTGTAGTGGGCTAGTCTTGGTCTAGGAGCAGTGCAGCGGGTGAGCATGAGATTCACAACACATTTCCAAAACAAGAAAAAAATTTTAGCGGCTTCGAAACACCTTTGCCTTCTTATTCTCAAGATTAATGGCTTCTCACCGACAACATCCAGTTGTAAAAGGCGCGCCTAATTAAACACAACCCTTTTACTTAACACAAGCCACAGCAGCACATTTTGCCTTCTTCCGTTTTTTTTCAAAGGCAAAAACTCGCTTTTTAAAGTCAGACAAAGAAGTCCAGCTTGAAAAGTGGGTGCTCTTTCTCAGTCTTTTGGACAGCTTCTAAAACAGCAAAAATGCCAGCGCTTGAATTGGAACAGACGTTGAAAATGTGTTATCCACTCCGTTCGTGCAGCTCTTTTGTCTTTACGGGATCCTGCTGCGTTGAAAGCTCCACGTCTAACAACTCGGCGGAAACTAGCAAAGAAAGCGTCAATTTCTGAGTTCCACCAAGCCAAACCTGCTTCTTAAAAGCTTTACCTGTCACACTTAAGCTCGAATCCGCTTGTAAACTTGCGATGTGGAAGCTTGTGTTTTACAGAAGTCTGAGCAATTTCAAAATTCTGGATCAAAGTTCCGTCAAACTTTATCACCAACAAGTTATGACACCCTTTGCAAAGAACGGGTTCATCCGACACTAAGAGCAAAGAACCATACAGTTTGAGCCACGAAGATTGAAGCACTGCCACCTTTGCCAGTGGTCGTAATATGATACGGCAATCATCTCGATAAAGGTTTTCGCAGCCCCAATAACACTAGTGCCCAACTCAAAATCTTCCGGAACATCAATATAATGGTGCAAATTTTTTTTGATCGAAAAAGCTTTGCTAGTGATCGATTCCGGCCAGAAAGCAGAAACGGTCAGTTTTGGCGAACCTGCATTAAGTTCGTGGCTCCTATTTGTGGAAGTAGGAACGCAGATATCCCTTGAAACGCTCTTAACGGTTTCCTCCACTACGAACTTAGCTGCAGGGCCTG